TACCCAAGTGATAGGCAGACGAAAATTGCAAAATGCGGCGATACATAACACAAATACAAGAGTATTAAAAATTGATGAAGTATAATCTCGGATGGTGCAAAACGTAAATGATAAATGAAGGAAGTTTCTCAAATTATAAGAAGCTTAGCCGTTGAGATACTTAAAGTTGCGAAAAGATATCAGACGTTTAATTTTCCACTAGAAAAGAAAATTGATTTTAACTTCGTCGGAAAGACTATTCGAGGTAAAGCACGCCTCTGAGAGCATTTCGTATGATTCACGAATGAATATGTTGGGAAATCATTAGCCATACGAGAAATTATTAACCGGTAACATTGATCGCGGCGAAACCAGACTTCATTAATAAAGCGTACCGATCGAGGAGCTCTTAATTAATTCCGTCGGGGTGAAAGTTTCGCAGTTACGAGGAGCAAGATGGTTTTCTTAATTGAGAAAAATGATTTAATTTCTTCGTGGTATCGTTTGCGGTGGAGAACGAGCGGGTAGGAGAAGGTCGTTCAGGATTGGCCGAGACGGGATAACTCGAGAGTGAAAAGAGGCAGTGGGAGGCAGACCGAAACTCTCATCAAATATGAATGGTCGGGGAGGATGGGTGGATAAAGATGGGGGAGAAGTACGGTGAGCATGAAATATTTCCCAGTCTGGGAGTGCATCGCGCTTTTACTCGCCTAGGAACATCTCGCATAGAAGCGGAAAACTTCTAGATGGGTATCAACCGAGTTCCGAGGAGTTCCAGCTCCCAACTCTACGTAACACCCCGTGACTCGTGGTTTCAGCGGTACTTGTAACCACCGTGATGTTGGTTTTTACACGTCATAATGGATACGTATTGCCGAAAATTGCATTTACGTTTCTTTGCAATATATATCATACATAAGAAGTTTCACGGAAAGTAACAAAAAACTAGGAAATAAAACTATTTACGATTTTTTTAATTCATCAAAATATTTTAATTTTTAGTTTTGATTAGCAATGTAATTACTAACGCGATATCATTAAAATATTACTTTTTAGAATTTATCTCGTTGCATGTAAAAGAAATTTCGGATCAAATAGTTCCAAAGTCTTTTGTATAACGTTTAAAATATTGTTTAATTTGTGTCATCTCCATTTGTCCTGTAGAATATGTCGTTTCCGCCAGACTTATATCCGTGTCGTGGTTGATTGTATTAAAAAATACAAAAATATCTTAATTTCGAATGCTCTCTTCTGGTCCTCTCATTTTTTTACGTACATACGTTATGAAAAACGCGAGAGATGTAATATTGTATACTTCACTCATTTCATTTTGCTTCCCGGAAGATTGCACATATTAAAATCTTCAAAAATACTTGCGATAATAAAATTTATAACATCATAATAGATAATAAAATTTATAAAATCATAATATAAAATCAGTTAATATTAAAAATGTCATATTGTTGAAATTCCGAGTGCTACGTCTTTTATGAATTGTTACTTACTTTAAAATAGGTTTGATCTAAACTGCGCGAAAATAATACGTGACGTTATATTATTTTGTGAAGTTTGGATTCGTTTAGTCAATCCGTTTATGCAATATCCATCCGTCTTTCACATATAAAATTTTATATACGCGCTACAAGATCATTTTCTCACGGAGTGCACATATATAATATATGAAATTGTCACGCGTAAGTCATATGTATATATTCCACGGTCATTCGATTTGCGGACTCATCGACGATCTTACATCTCGACTTTTTAGAGATATGTTGGCTTACATCGATTCCCGAACTTCTCGCCGAATCTAAATCTCCATAAATTGTCGATCGCAGCAGCCCGCAGCGGCCGCGTGCAATAATTAACGCCCGAACTCCTAATTGATTGTCTCGCTGATTTACCGAGTCGCACAATTAATCGGACATGAATTATCGGCGCGAATACCGGCCGATAAACGAGAGTTTAATTACCGCTGCTAATTACGACTTACGACAGATGAAGGAGAGAGAAATGAGGGAGACCGACACATTAGTTGGAGAAGTTTTCGGCGCGAATTGGCAAACTGAGTAGCATTAGCGCGATTGAAGGATGTCTCAAGAAAAAGAGAGAAACAGAGAGAAAAGAAGAATAAAAGAAAAACCGTGTGGGAGAATCACTGTGAGAGAATAGGATGTGGAATGGGGATAAGAGAGCAGCAAGGGGTTAGTGGATGATTGTACAAGGAATGGAAGCGGAATAAAACGGAAAAGATAGCGAAAGGAAAAAGAAAAAGAGAGAAGGAAACGAGAAACTGGAAGGGTGACGAGGGATGGGGAAAGAAGTGGCAGAGACTTACATTTCCCACGGGGTATCCCTGCTGCTCTCGGGCTCCTTACTTACGGATTGATACTCAATTTCCACCGAGTTTAGCCCCCATCGAGGGATCATTGCACCAGATCGCGGGAGCTCCTTTCGATTTCGAATAAATTCGATAATGGCGAATAGGTAGCTGCAACTCAGCGGGAGTGCGAGACCGATACCAGGGTTGGAGAATCTCACGATCATTTTACCTTAATCGAGTGAACTAGGCGCCAGCTTAGCGTCGACGAATTTCAATGCCATTGTTGCATCCGCTTGTAGGATACGTAGGAATGACGATTCGCAAAAGTAAAAGCATCAGTACGACTGGGTGATAAAGTGGATTGGAAGAATTTATGCGAATCTCTGTTGCGCGTGTTGAATCGAATGTTACAAGATGTGAGGTGCATTGTACAGTCTATTTATCTAAAATTTATACATTAAAATGCAATTCTCCAATTTTTAATAAATTACTGGTAAAATAAAATATTAATTTATTTGTTATGTTTAATGTCAAAAATATACAATTACAAGGAAAAGTTTGATAAACATTTATCTTATAAAGTAGACGAAAATATTAGACATATATTTTTTTATATTTTTTTATATGGATTTACAAAAGAAGCCACTTAATTTTGATAATCCTGTAGATAATTGTTTCAAAAAGTTTGAAAATTTCTGAGTATTAATGTGTATGTAATAACATAAAATGTGCTTGTAAATGTATAAAATCTTTATGTATACAAGAATTTTTTTGAATATTATTTCTGTAAAGAGTATATACAATAAAAACTAAAAAAAGATAGACATAGGTAAGAAGTAGCATAACTATAAACAAAATGAAAAAGTCGTAAAAAGATTTTAAAAATTATAAAAAAACAAAGAATATAAGAAATAAAAGCAACTAATAAAAAAATAAAAGCAAAAACGATATGGAGATAGACCTCCTCCTTATCCCTGAGTTCGGCAAAAAGAGAAATAAGATTGTTTCTCTTTCAGCAGGTCGCCATATTGGGTCTGCTTTTGAATTCTACATTTTTTTACACTGGATTTGCTTTCAGGAAAGCCTTTTATCATCTCTACACTTCAGAAATAGCTGTAATAGAGTGAGCTAAAATACAAAAAATTAAATACTCTTATACTTATACTTATACTTATCACTAAAGGTAATTTGTATCCTTGAACCTGTACCATTGCCGATATAAAAAAATATGTGTCTATTATTTTTGCTCTAAATAAATATATCAAATTTTATTAAATTCGGCGAGTCATGAAAAGATAGTTTATTGTAAGTTACATGCGGATAACTAAAGAATATTCTGATTTTGATTACTCATAATTCCATTAAAAATCAGCTTTAAGAATCTGTTTTCTTAATTATAATAAAATGATTTTTAATGGAGTTATGAGCAATCAAAATCAGAATACTCTTTTAATAGCAGAAATTCTTTTTACTTAACTCGTGAATAATTCAAGAAATCGTAGAAACATTTTTGTAAGAAAAAACGATTTTGTAAGGAAAATTCCAAACTTTCACAATAGACAATCGAAAATTTTCACAAATTTTTTTGATACGTGACAGCTTTACAAAGTTGAGAAGAAAAATTTCCCTTTTTTCAGCTCAGGAATAATTTTCTATACATAAAAATGATCAAATTTACACGAACTAAAAAATTATGGTAATCTTTTGAATGTAGAGATTTCAAATTTTAAAATCTTTTTTAATTTTTTTAATTTAAATTTTGTTAATTTTTTTATGAAGATGTTATATATATAATTTGAGCTAACAAAATACCGTAGAACTTTTCCTCCAACCAATTAATATTAGAATTAACACATTTAATACGATATATGAGCATGTTTTCTCATTCGATCGCCAAATGTGTTTCGCTAACTTAGAAAAGTCGTATCCTGGCCCTCGCGCGCGACACGGACATTTACATCGAAACGACCTTTATATTACAGCCATTATCGCAATCAAGAAGTTGGTACGGGTCGCGTTTCTCCGGGATTGCGAGAAGCGAAGGAGAACGCTCGAACGCCGCCGCTTACTTACTAATGAACTCCGGTCGATTCCCGGGGACGGGTAATTGTAACGCGTCCAAATTAAGTCCAGATGAAGAAGAAGTATGAAGTGAGAAACGATAATTTCCACGACGAATATAACAATGACGTCGATGTAACTGTTCTGGCAATTACAACAAATTATATTAACTACGTTTGCGCCTCGTGTTCTCCTCACTGCCGCTCTCAAAGCGACTTACTCTGATCGCACACGCTAGTACGATCCGACGTCTTCGAGGCCTGTTATTCGGCTCAGGAACTCGTGCAAAACTAATTCCAAGCCGCAAGATGAAAGTCGACTTTAATGATTGTCGAAAGTTACACATCCTTATCTAGATCAAACTTGGTGTAGACTAACTGGAAGGAATCATTCTGGACCGCAGTGCGTTTCGACGTTTTCATAATACGCGTATATTATTTCTCATACATTTAAAATTAGAGTTACAAGACGTATGAAATTCTAAAATTAACAGATAGGCGAAATTTAGCTATCATATTTCTATGCCTTCTCAAATTTTTATTAAAGAAATTATAAACACATATATAATTTTAATTAACGATCTTATAACATTAATTAACAATTTGTATAATAATATTTCATTAATTGATGAACTTACGGAACTAAATCCCATGACCTTAAGAAGCCAGACAGTGAGGGCGAGATTGAGAATGACGATGACCATAAGAGTTAACACGAGAGAATAAAGACATTTTTTTCTCCAGCCATAGACCCCTAATCTGAAGCCACCTTTACACGGCGTGATACCGGAAGCTCGTTCTTCCAAGGCAGAAGATGCCGATCTCGAAGATCCCGCCGTCTGCCGTGCTCCACTGCGACGACTTGCACTGCCAGAAGTGCAAGGCTCGTCAGACCACCCTCCTTGGCCTCTGGACATTCTAAAAGAATATAATTCAGGATTAACAAAATATATATAATGAAAAAAAATTTCTGTTTTTAACAATTTCTTTCTAAAAAGTATTAATAATTAAACTAAACATATAACAATTAATTTATACTGATGTGACTTCTAGACTTTTGAAAGAAAAATTTATTTAATATTTGTAATTTTAGATAATTACAAGTAAATTTAACTTTTTGAATTAATCGAAAGAAATCTGTTTTCTCGAAGCAATTGAGAATTTATTCTAGATACTTTGTTTTTCATTCTCTCCCTATTTGAATACCTTCATGCACGTTTTCGTGCTACAAGCGATTTCACGCCGTAAATTGGCAGATTACGGTTACGAAATACAAACGAGATGCGTGTTATAGCTACAGGTCGTTACACCGTGCAGTTGCGAGCCATTAATAAGACTACAATTACGAGGCTGTTCTTTCTGCCGTGATCATTTATCAACGGTTTATACCTCATTCTTGAACACCGGCTGCGCGGAATTGTGTTCGGGAAGGCGAAACGCGTCACGAAAGACAGATCTTCCGATTTTTTTTTCTCCAACAACGTAAAATACTTTATATCAGACGTGCTTGACCTGTAAAGATGGAACTTGCCGAAGATCACTTTTCGTAAAATCTTTCCCCGAAGTGATAATTTCATTAATTCGCTATGAATTTCGCAAGTAGTGAAACGTTATGTTTTTTTCATGAGAAAAGCTGTCTAAACTCTTTTATATTGCAAATTAAATTACTTTTGAAAAAAAAAATATTAATGCTTGTATTCGTATGTAAAATATTACAGTAGAAAAAAAAAATGTCAAATTGATTATGCTCGAAGGACATTTGCATATCAATGCAATTCATTTTCCTCGGCCTTTCGTCGTTCCCATCTCTTATTAACTATAACGATAAAATAAATTTGCTGACTTTTACAACATGACAAAATCAATATCACACCTTGATTACTCATGTACATGATATTACGATCGTTCATCGTATTATGTATAATGATAAATTAGGTTCGTTGACTGTCAAAAATGATGAATACTTTATATTTTCAAATTCTCTTGCGCAAATTTATATTTTAATATCCAAAATGTATTTTGCAAAGCAAATATATAAAGAAACAGTTTATAATTGAGCAAAATAAAGTTATTAACAATATTTCATCAATTTATTATACGAAGAACATACATATAGAATTGAATGTTTCGGAATACATAGGTCCTCCTTCAGTAATGATAAAAAATTGATCGATATCAAATGATTAATATTACATTTAGTTCGTTGCATAGGAACATTTCAAATGATTATAAATATGAGAAGCGATTTGTCCTTCAGTCTTAAATTCTTTTTTTTTAATGTGAATGTATAGATGATATCTTTTTGAATAATGTTCGTTAATTTTCAGTATCAGAAAGTGAGTCGAAATTGAAGTCGGGATGTATTTCAATTATAAATTATATGTTCTTCGTATAATAAATTTAAATATTGTTAATAACTTTATTATATTTTAATATTTTCTCATTTTATTGTAAGAAAATAGATTTGTTAACTCTAACAAATTGATAATAGAAATTTTATATTTTAAACATTAATATACATTCTAATAATTTTATTTTTTAAATGTAAATACATTTCATAATTTCGACATTTTTAAACTAGAGACAAAATTATTTCAAGAGCTCTTTGAAAGAATGTTACATCCAACATTTAAATTTTAGGAAACGTGTAGCACACACACACACACACACACACACACACACACACACACAACACACACACGCGCAATATTTTTCTAAAACATTACTTTTCATAAAAATAATGGTTGCGACGTTTTTTTCAGAGAGCCTTTTATTTGTTACAACATCAATTGATGCCAATTGATTTACGCTCGGTTCAATTGAATCTTTTTATTCTTTTCTAATTCTAAAGAATTAAGAAAAAATATTAAATCTCATAAATCAGTATATAATAAGATATTTTAATGGCTTAACAGCGAAATAGCTTGTCAAATTACGATATAGAAGTTAATACACAGTTCTGCAATTTTATCGGATATCAACGTCCAAAATGAGAACATGGAGACAGAATACGAAACAACGCGAATGAAATGAAACGAGATAGAACTTATGCAAAGCTGGCCGCAAAATTCCTGACGTAACTTTCGTACCTAATCCTAGAGCTATAAGACGAGAAAAGGATCCCTTCTATTTTTGCTTTTCAAGCTTCCTTCCATTTTTCTGCGTTTATCCATTTTTATTTTCATTTATGGAAGTGTCAGTATGAAGCAGAAAGAAGAGAGAGAGAGAGAGAGAGAGAGAGAGAGAGAGAGAGAGAGAGAGAGAGAGAGAGAGGAAGAAGAAGAGGGAGATGGATGAAGCTGCGAGAAGCAAGAGCTAAAATATTCAATGCCGACCTTCCATCCTTTTATGGATAATTATGCTCTTCGCAGATATAAAGAGCTCCGTAGCTTGAAATTAAAAGCTGGGGATAAACCAGTGCGGGAAAAGTGGCACGCGGTCGCTGCTGTTCCAATTTCCCGATCGTGCGATTTTCGACCGAGCGCCTGCAATGGTCTCTTCTCGATTGTTAGCATTTTAGCAATTTTTTCCTGTCAAGAGATGCGCTCATTTCGCGCTATTGTTTTTGTGGATTTTGTTCTTTTTGTTACGATCAGTAGAATATGTTCTTCCTCAAATAATTCAATGATAGAATTTATATGTAACATTTATGACTTCTATATACATATAATGTTAATGCCGCAATGTATTATAAAACCTTATAATTTTTCGTGAGAGAAATATCATTCCCAAGTAAAAATCCAAGAAAATGATTTAATGTTGGACAAAGTCTCTCATTAGGGCCACCATAAAAATTGTAAATGAATTTCACGATATCCAACTTAAAGAAAAGAAAAAAGGAGACTAATCAGACCATGTGCTTTTTTTACGTCATCGTGAGGGAACACTGAAAGTGTAAATTTATTTAATGCCCCTTACATATCTTTCTTTTTAAGTGCTCGCGGAGCACCCAAAAAGAGGGTGAGGATAACCTACAGCACCAGAAAATGAGCATTATGAATTCAGGCTTCAAGGCACAATTATAACGCGGAAATATTTCATGGGCTATAAATAGTGCGTCGGACGTATGTTAAACGTTCGCCGGAACTTTTGACGTAACGCTAAGTTAGCACGGCGACCATTATTTCGCAGTCCGGAGCAGAAAATGCATTATAAGTTACGAAATTACTACTGCTACAGTAACGCGGAGCAAGAATTTTTCAAGAATTTCGTACCGCTTATACTTGTATTTTACTTCTAAAAATTTCAAAATTAACTAAAAATTTTTAACAAATAATTAGGTCAGAGGAAATTATTTCTTTCGATCTCGTAATTAGAAAATTAAAACTATACCGACTAAATGGATTGAATAAATGGATTGATATCTATGCAAAACATTATTACTTTAGCACGAGACATGAGTCAGACATTGATTCTTTTATTTCTCCATTTCGAAAGACGTGTTTCTACGTAACATGAAGTGGAAGTCGGACAGCCACATTCAGCACAAAATATACGACGCGGAAATACGCACCACTAGACAGTTTACTTTCGGCGACGAACAATGGCCAGCTTAATAAAATGTACGGTACGTACAATTACGGATATCATTTATTTCGCGCGGGTGACAACGATGGATTACAACAGCAACCGCAATTTAGATTCTTTGCTGCTGCGATCTCGGTGAGACTCGCCGTGCGGGATAGATTTATTTCCCGCTTTAAGCGCCTAAAAGCTCCTTCCCGGATGCAGATAGGGACGTTGAATGAATTAATCCATACCACATTTGGGTGGTTGTAAGAGTGTTTAAACGGGGTGGGAGCCGGGGGTGTTGGATGGAGGCCCGCTTGTACAGCAACCGTTGTTTAAATCGTAAGCCGAGCTTAAATTGTCTGCCATCCAATCCTAGGTTTGCGCTTGACTCAAGTTGCAGGCAGGTATAACTCGGCGTTATAACCGGCAGGAAGCATTATGGCTACTATTGTTCACTAATATCCCGCTTCCCGTGTTACCAAAGTTGTTTCTAGAACGCCGATGACAGCTCTTGTACTGCGCGCAGTTACGGGACGCAACAAGCAGTAATATCAAAGGCCAAACCTGCGGTTTTAATAGATAGAACTCAATCATGTAATCGTGATTTTATAACTTATTATTTTTAATTTG